AGCCCAAATTCAGTCCTCTACCCAAATGGACCATAGCATATGCATTCTACATGGCTATCACCATCCCTCCAATAATTTGGACAACAGTTGGGTCACTATAAATATTTCTCTCAGCTTTTTGTTCATTTGTGGGGGTATGAAAAAGATAAAAGGACCAATCATGCCTGTTTCAACAATCAATTTGTGGCGATGCCTTTTGAAATATGACAGGATTTGAGACTGGGATGGGCAACTATAGCACTGCACATTACATACTGCAGAGTTCATGTTGACTTTTTTTTTATTTGAACAAAATCATAAAAAAGTTAAAATCTCTTGACTACGCCAAACAGTCAGAAATAAAACAGCATTTCTCAGCCAATATAGATTTGATGTAGAGCCGTAGCATACATTTAGGCAGGGGAATTTCACATTACCATCAAATAAAGTGTACAATCCTGAAAACAGATTTATCCTTTTTGGGGGGGGTTACTCACTTTATCAGTATTTCAAAAACTTGGGATTGTCATGTAATTTAATGGTAAATTTGGTTATAAAGCCAAAATGTGCAAATGTAAAAGGATTTTGGATATAAGGAAAGCCCTTAAATATGTCGGGCATGGTTCATCTCATGAGCGATTAAATCATACACTTTCATATCAATCAATCTAGGGGAAAATAAAAAATACATCAAATACAGAAACGCACTATTTATAACTCAATAAATTAAACTCCAATATTATTCAGTTAGACATATTTCTTTGTATATTGCACGTCTAAATAACTTACGTTCGGTTTTACTGAGCATCAAATAATTTCAGAATAAATGACAATAGATTTATTGTACAGCATATTATGGCAAGATTCTTTGTCACTTGTGAAGGGTATCTGAGCCTGAGGGTCTATTGAAAGTGATATTAAATTATCCAAACATTGACCAGAACACTCGTATTTTTTTACATAAAAAAACAGTTGTGCATAAAAAGAAAAGAATGAGATAAATTAAATTTAAAAAGCACTTTTTTTGTCTACTTTTCCTTTCAATTGTACCATAAAGTTCTAATTTAAATATACCGAGAGAAGACTACAAAGGTTGGTAGTGAACTAAAATAAGCGTGGATCAGATTCAAATTTTAAGAATTACTGTCATGCATCAAAACCCTACAGAAAACAAATTGGAATTTCTAGTGATTTCAAACTGTAAACTCACAATTGAAAAACAGCCCTTTCATTGTGATAGGTCACAAAACTCGGTGATGCTAACATTTACCTAAATATCTGAAAACAGTTGTCAAGTCTTATACACTGATCTGCATAACTTACAGAAAAAGATACACCTTGATCAGAAGTTTAACCTCATGCAAATTAAATTATGACTTGTAAAAGAGCAAGGTTGCTGTACTGTACAACTAACATGAAGACCTAAGACTTCTGAGCATCAAATTATCATCTACATGTATACAAATCGCTTAATCATTTGAAATCAATTGGAAAAAGCAAACAATTTTATCTCTCTAATCCCTCTTTTAAAACCCTGTATGAAATTTATACATGTACATCCACAAGTAGCAGTCATTGTTCTAACACTTGTGGATATTTGAAGCCATTCACAGCAAGGTCTATACAATCAAAATGTTTTATATTCAGCCAACAACCGAGGCTTGAATCCAACCGAGGCTTGAATCCAACCCAGGCCTGAATCCAACCCAGGCCTGAATCCAACCCAGGCCTGAATCCAACCCAGGCCTGAATCCAACCCAGGCCTGAATCCAACCCAGGCCTGAATCCAACCCAGGCCTGAATCCAACCCAGGCCTGAATCCAACCCAGGCCTGAATCCAACCCAGGCCTGAATCCAACCCAGGCCTGAATCCAACCCAGGCCTGAATCCAACCCAGGCCTGAATCCAACCCAGGCCTGAATCCAACCCAGGCCTGAATCCAACCCAGGCCTGAATCCAACCCAGGCCTGAATCCAACCCAGGCCTGAATCCAACCCAGGCCTGAATCCAACCCAGGCCTGAATCCAACCCAGGCCTGAATCCAACCCAGGCCTGAATCCAACCCAGGCCTGAATCCAACCCAGGCCTGAATCCAACCCAGGCCTGAATCCAACCCAGGCCTGAATCCAACCCAGGCCTGAATCCAACCCAGGCCTGAATCCAACCCAGGCCTGAATCCATTGATCTCCATATACACAGACTGGATAGGACATCGCGTGCGAACGTGCGTCCGCGCGCGCGTTTTTTGAAAAGGGTCAAGAACACAAATTCGCATTTCGAATTGTGTACACTTTCGAACGGAGGATTACAAAATGAAGTTGGGTTTTCTTCGGTTTCTTTGTCATTTTTGAAAGAATAAAATAAACAAAGATCTAAATTGATCAAAATCGACGAGGAGTATAGTCAAGGTGTGCGCAGCATAAGATTGCTGGAGTCGGGAAGTAAGGAGCGTTGAAGAATAGGACAATTATTCGCAAGTAAGTTGTTTTTTTAACGAGGCCTATACAACACGGCATAAAGGAATATGAACATGGGAACGACTGAAAGCAAATTATAATATCGTTAATGTCGCTGTGAGTTTGAGGGGATGGAGGCCTGTGTGGTAGCTAGCGAGATATTCTGTTCAAATTCCATGCGATCTAGGCCTGTCATGCTGGTCGGCATCATTTTTCTTTAAACGTCCATTACTGACCCGGCAATGGCAATGAACAAAAGTTGACTTGTTTAAAATAGTTTATTCGAATAACTTTTATAATTTTTATATGCAAAATCTGATTGAATTATGTCTGCCTTAAACGCCTACCGAAATGTTTCTATTCTTTTTCTTTATAAAGAGAAACCGAGGAGATGGTTTATGCTAACTTACTGCACAACCGGCAGATTGACCTTCATATCAAACAAAGAACTTCAGCAAAGCCATAGCAAAAACCACCAGCTGCAGGACGATATCCGAGACGGACGAAAATGGAGAACTTCACGGAGGGATGGAATCAACTGTATCATCCACTGAATGGAACATGCGGTGTGATAGGCATCTGAGAGTTTGACTTAATCAATTTTTACGATGTGGAACTGTTAACATTGATTGGTTTTCTTTTTGGAAAGAGCTGTGAAGTTCAACGCAAGTATTTTTGTGAGCTCCCAAGATGACTGACACATTATTGACAGTTTGTATGGTGAAGAAAGCAATGAGTGCTTTCACAGTTTGAAATTATATTGTGTGCGCCTTTATATAAGATTATTAACTATAGCCATTAGTACACCGTCCTATTCGCTCACAAAAACGATTCCCATTACACTTACAAGTAATTATATTTATTTTCAGAAGTATAGCTAAACATTTAATTATAAAACAAGACCGTGCGTAGCTTGAATTATTCTTTGTGATTCATCTCCTTTCACACAATATCACAAGAGGTGAACGATGTCATTCCCGGGCAATCTAGGGACGGGAAGAAGTTTTTACTGATTACTTTGTAAAATTAAGGTTTTTTCTTACCTTTTAGATTCTAATTGGTTTATGTTCGGGTTTTTAATAAATATATCAATCATTTGAATGAATCTCCATACAATTTCTCGTATGAGTGTTCAGTTAAAAAATATGATGTCATTTCAGCATATTATTAAGACAATAATCATTTCATTGATGGAGTAATTCAGTGTGCTCTAATGACCAATGTGCCAAAAATAAATTGGCAATTTACTTACAGTCATTTTTGGGAGGAGGAGGGATTTAACAAACAAACAAAAAAAAGGAAAAGGAAATAGGGGGTTCTTGAATTTCGAAAATGCATAATAAGAAAGTGTATATCAAGAAAGTGTGGAAAAGCTGTTTGGAGGGATTGAGGGTAACTCTTCATCGTTCATGAAAAAAGTAAGACTGCTGCAAACTGCTTACTGACTGGATGGACCTGAAATATATAAATCTAAAAATTAATGTGGTCTGACGTTGCGAACTTAGCAAGTTCTTCTTCAGAGGCTAAAACAGCCTCTGAAGAAGAACTTGCTAAGTTCGCAACGTCAGGCCACATTAATTTTTAGATTTCTTCATCGTTCAGTTAGTTTTTTTTTAAAGATTTGTTTTGGAGGAGCGCTTGAACTCCCTCCTGTAAGAAAAATTACACTCGATAATGCATTTTCCAAAGTAAACAAAGTAAAAGCACAATGCGCGTATACCCGTCTGACAGTAAACGCGCCGCCATTGTTCGGCCGCGCATTCGTACACAAACACGGCGCGATGTCCTATCCAGTCTGTGTATATGGAGATCAATGCCTGAATCCAACCCAGGCCTGAATCCAACCCAGGCCTGAATCCAACCCAGGCCTGAATCCAACCCAGGCCTGAATCCAACCCAGGCCTGAATCCAACCCAGGCCTGAATCCAACCCAGGCCTGAATCCAACCCAGGCCTGAATCCAACCCAGGCCTGAATCCAACCCAGGCCTGAATCCAACCCAGGCCTGAATCCAACCCAGGCCTGAATCCAACCCAGGCCTGAATCCAACCCAGGCCTGAATCCAACCCAGGCCTGAATCCAACCCAGGCCTGAATCCAACCCAGGCCTGAATCCAACCCAGGCCTGAATCCAACCCAGGCCTGAATCCAACCCAGGCCTGAATCCAACCCAGGCCTGAATCCAACCCAGGCCTGAATCCAACCCAGGCCTGAATCCAACCCAGGCCTGAATCCAACCCAGGCCTGAATCCAACCCAGGCCTGAATCCAACCCAGGCCTGAATCCAACCCAGGCCTGAATCCAACCCAGGCCTGAATCCAACACAGGCCTGAATCCAACACAGGCCTGAATCCAACACAGGCCTGAATCCAACACAGGCCTGAATCCAACACAGGCCTGAATCCAACACAGGCCTGAATCCAACACAGGCCTGAATCCAACACAGGCCTGAATCCAACACAGGCCTGAATCCAACACAGGCCTGAATCCAACACAGGCCTGAATCCAACACAGGCCTGAATCCAACACAGGCCTGAATCCAACACAGGCCTGAATCCAACACAGGCCTGAATCCAACACAGGCCTGAATCCAACACAGGCCTGAATCCAACACAGGCCTGAATCCAAATGTTTTAAAAGATTTTCAATGCCACGACCGTTATGATTCTTTGCAGAAAAAAAAGCACATAAAAGGAAACTTTGTTTTGTTTGCTGGATACATTGTGAAGAAAGAGAAAAAAACAGTGAAGAAACAAATGAAAAAGTGATGAACATATTTGTTGGAAAAAAAGCAAGTTTACAAAAGAAGAAGCTCTGATGGAATTTTTTTTCATAGAAATTCATAAAACATAATGAAACCCCCCCCCCCCCTTAAAAATTCCAGGATCTGCTCCTGCAAGTTTTAATTTTCAAACATTAAATACATTGTTCAAAGCTAGCAATACAGTTACATCATGCATTCTACAAGCAGCTTATACCATTGGTGAAAAAAATGTTGGCGTTTTCTGAGTTCACCATGTCCAATATTAGGTTTTGCCCTTCAAAGACGTATAAACACTGTATGTATACTCAGTGTGTTACCTCCCGAGCAAAAGTTGGAAAAAATCACTCGGGTGGAACTCAAACCCATGACCTCCTGCTTTCTAGTGCAGACGTCCCACCACCCGACCACCGAGTTTGCCAGGATCGGCTGGCTGGTTTGAATCTGATGTACATGTAGCAGGGGGTACCACAATTAAACTACAATGAGAAGAAATTTGCGTCGGGTGATGTAAATCAATATTAGGTTTTGCCCTTCACCAACATATAAACACTGTATACTCAGTGTGCTATAGCATATATTGTACTTATTTAGCACGTAAGATTATCAGAGGTTAATCACTGGGCAATCTAGGTTTTTCTTATGGTTATCAATTGCCTACATATAAATATGCAGCATTTTTTCAACCACATCTCTACGTCCACATTCATCTATAGCTTCACTAAGCACTTGTAGTTTTCTCTCTATATCACCTCCTTCCCTCTTTGACCATGCAACCAACATGCTAAAGATAGCATTGTCTGTTACACTGTTGTCTTGTTTGAACCTGTACAGGTTAGACTGAGTGAAGCCCAGACTGACTGCAAGGCGTTCCCACTCAGGACCCAGCTCAGCTGCAATGGCTAGCAGGTGTTTCTCACTCATCACATAGGGATCTCAGAAGAAAAGAAAATAACAAACACATTTTTGTACCATCATTTTATGTCAAGAATTTGCTGCTTGCCTTGAAACAGACAGTCTTGTTCACACACTACAACTTTTGATGTATTGTATTGCAATTTGAAGTAGTATTTGTACAAGTTTTAAGACAAAGTTTACAGTTGAAAAATGTAACAAATCTCTTTTATAAGTTTGCAGGGTTCTGAAAAGCCGCGGGAACTCTACATTTTGGACATTAAACTCTGCCCGTCGTCAGAAGACATCAACTTTATCTTATTGCTATCTTCACCATACAAACTTTCAAATCTTGATAATTGTCTTGAACAATCAAAGACCAGCTACAGCATAAGAAATAGAGAAGATCCAGACCAACGATAAATCAATACACATAATGTGCACAATATTGCAGTGCATGTGAATTTAGACATTGTAGCTGCAGAATTTTTATTTTTTACAATCTAAGTCATTCAGTGCTTCTCTTTTACATTTTAGACAACTGTTTCCTTGTGTCCACTATCTCTTTTTTCTGTTGGTTACATGCTAAAAAAATAAAACAACTATCGTTGAAAAGAGCCTGCTATGTGAATGATTCAAGTTAAATGTGAATAATTTGAGATAATTAATGAACCATTTGGTTGTGCATGACACAACACTTCATGTCTCCATTACAGGGTACAATACATGCTGCAAACTCAGAGCAGGACTTAGTTCCAGTCAATTCAAACTGGATAGAGGCTTGCCAGGACCCAATTTTATGGCTCTACTTACAGTAAACAAAGACAAATTTGTTGGCATATTTCATGGTGAATGCATTTCATGGATTTGCAAGGAATTTTGGCATGTACTGAAATGTGTACATCACATAATTAAGGATTTTGTGCCACGAGGGTTAATGCAAAATGTCCGTGCTAGCTCTGCCCAGAATAGGCTTCTTAAGCACGGAATTGTACATGAAAAATAGCCATAATAATGGAGCAGCGGTGCACGTACCAGTTAGATTAGAATGGGATTCATAACTTGCATAACTGATGAAGGTTATTTTTTAATATACATTTGTGCTGATATTGAATGTTCAAACAAACACCAAGTGGCATGTGCTATAATTTTGAACCAAATATAAACCACTTTCATCAGAAAGACCCACATATTTACTATGATGATGCCGCATAAGAGATTACATACTTACCAAGTTTCCGTAGTGACGATTGACCTGATTCAACAAACATCTGTTTGATGCCACTAGTGTCAATCCTTACACCAGGTTGTTCATGGCAACATACGCGTTCTTTCTCCAGGCATTCATCAAGCAGCAGAAAGTGTAGAGCACCCTCTGGATCACAGGGGCATGATACGCACAAGTGAAACTTGAGCCCCTTGGCCCACATGGACTTGATTGACTTGAGTGTAACACAGAGAAAATCCCTGACCTTGATTGAATGAACAAAAGTTTCAAGAATTTGTGTTAATTTCTGCTAGCAATCATATTAGGTGCCCAGTTTTGTTATTCTTGTCAATTAAAAATTCTGGTCTATATATTTTTTTGGAACACGATTTTAAAAAGTTTGATATTAAAAACATCAGTACTTGCCACATGTTTGCACACAATAAAAGTGCAAATAGTCCTTTTTACCGTTTGGGGGAAGCTTTTAAAAGTGGAAATATTATTGCCACAAAATGCCCCTTGTCAAACAAACAGTGAATAGTAACAAAATGACTGGCCGAACTCCTGCAGAAAAGAGACAGTTGATAATTTCTTAATCAAAAACTGACAAGGCAAAGACATCTATCAAACACTGTGTGCAATAAATCAAGTGAAGCCTTTCAGATTGTGACTATTTGATTATTTAGCTCAACAAATGATGTAAAAAGTGTGTCCCTGATGAGATATCCTTTTTATTCCCATCTCACCTTACACACTATGATGGGTGATGGTTTGCACTGTAATCTTCTGGATTTTGAAGGACCTTGTGTAGATGTATATATCACAGAATGCTTTGATATACACACCTGCCAAAACAACACAGACAAGAAACATTGATATAAAAATGTCAAATTCAAGGAACAAGAAAATGTATCATTCTGTTCATATTTCTTTGGGGAGGGGGCAATTCAGAGACTGTGGACATGCTAGTGTCAGCAATCCATCAGGCACAGGCTTTTCATTGAGGTTTTCTTCCACTGAATTCGTGGTCTGCAGGTAATTCTGCAGTTTTTGGATAGGGCTGTCCATTTTTAAATAATTAAGTATTCGATTACTAGAAACTGCAGGTGACCGCATGCCGCAATCAACGTTTGAAATGTTTGGCAGTAACTATTTTATAACAGTCAAGGCTTTATGTCACCGTTGACAAACAGCGGGATCTGACAATAAAGTGCCGCGAATTTACAATTAAAATAACGTCACAGTTGTGTAAGTGCATAGTTTCTTCTTTCGATTATTCAAACTGGTAAAAAGCTATTCGAATATTATGTTTATGGTTGTGGGTTGAGTCCAGCCTGGGGTTGTCACTCATTGCTTCTCCCAGGAGTACATAGGTACCAGTGAGGGAAGAGATGATTATGCAGGTCTGTAGGCAGGGGAGGGGGAAGGTGTTTTGATGATTTCCCCTCCCCCCCCCCCAAAAAAAATTAATCAGCCGCAGCTCCACTTTTTCCTTGTGATTGACATTTGGCGTCATCGATATTTATTAAACATGAACAGGTCCACTTTGTGGTAAAAACAACCCTCCCCTTACACCCGTCTGGCTATACCTCATAAATGGTAGCACAGATATGTATACCCCCCAGGGAACTGAGATTGTCTTTGGAATGTTTGATTGTCCCGATGATCGGGTACGATCCGGTCACCTTTGTGAAATGGTACGATTTGGGTGATTTCGTGATTTCGGTGACTTCTTTATTAGACATGAACAGGTCCACTTTGTGGTAAAAACAACCCTCCCCTTACACCCGTCTGGCTATACCTCATAAATGGTAGCACAGATATGTATACCCCCCAGGGAACTGAGATTGTCTTTGGAATGTTTGATTGTCCCGATGATCGGGTACAATCCGGTCAGCTTTGTGAAATGGTACGAATCGGGTGATGAGGCTGAACCCCCATCACCCTTTGGCTTTGTCTTCGTTCTTCTTTAGTGTTCACATTTTCCCGTGTTTTATTTTTCTTGGGCATTACTTCTCTGTGGCTGTTCTTTGAAACGGAACCACGCATGAACTTCCAAATCGGTGTGAACATCAGTCCTGATACCGAGGTGTGTACAATTGTGATTTCATGATTACATTATTGGGTATCAAATTACAAGCAATTTTATTTCAAAAAGTTATTTCAAAAAGTGACCTTTCTGTGACGTCATCAAACCGGAAGTTGGGTGTCATTAATACAGACACATAAGTTTGTCTTCTTTTCACTTCATCTCACATAACCTGTCTAAACTACATCAGTACATACTATAAATATTTTGATTACATCATCAAGTGACGTGTAAATACAAATGTGTTCTAAAATAAAATGATCCTTGAAGGATGCAATTGTTCCAAATCATAAATGATTAACCCAAAACATTTGAATTTCATGCTCTTCCTGGTTTTTGCTTAACCATATTACAACTGACAAATGCGAGGCTCTAGTTACTATTTTTATTACTTCTATTCACACATATTCTTTGCTACACCCGGATTCATGTGGCTTCTAAATCCAATTCATAAGGTTGTTACGTTCAAGCCACCAAAGATATCATTTTAGAGCTTTAAACATTGAAATCATACATACTCTGATATAGGCCTGTTTCAATGGTGACATTTCCATCTCAACTTCATGGTCGCCATCAGCAGGGAAACGGGCATATCTATGTGCAATTCTTGGCAATTGCTCTGTTCCGTCTTGTGCCTGTGACCACACCAATGCACGCACCACAAGCTGATTGAACAAACTATCTGTCAAAATCAAAATCAAAAAGCAGTCTAATAAACAAAAAATTCTCAGAAACACATGATTCATCTACAGATACTAGACAGCATGTTTGTCTGCATTTTCCCTGACAAACTGTTCCTCTTTTGTAAAGCAGCAAATCTACGTGTGTGAACAATTTTTTTGGTTTTATCTATTCCAGTGCATCCCAGACAAAGTAGCAGTAATTGGTCCAAGACTTTTTCCCCTACCATATTCTGTAAGTACAACATTTAGTTTTGAAACTCTGATTATCAGAATGAGTTTGAAATGCGATAAATTTCAACTTTGGATTTTTCAGCAACTTTGTCAGAGTATACTCAGAACAGGCTTCATTTCATAGGCTACATTTGACAATATTTGGAGATTTGGGGAAAGTTGAGAATGGAGGTCATCTGTAAACTAGCACTGATTTCCACACTTATGTTTAATCTTCTCCCTTCAATAGCACAATACTTGGGTTTATTTACAAGTTGGAATTTTTTATCTCATGTTGGACAGAGAATGTTTGATAAGACATACCAGGTACAATGTGCACAAAGTGAATATAGAAGATGTAAGATGACTCTGGACTCAGTGGATTCCTTTTGGTGATGGAATATTTGCCAAGTAAACTGGGAACATAGTAGGTTCGCTGAGTGGTAACCTGTGCATTGGTTTCCATCCACTCATCTCCTCCTGCGTTCTAAAAACCAATAAAAGAGATTAACAGATAAAGGGATGAGTGTGGAGGGATTTCATAGCGTTGCTTAACAGCCAATTTTATGCTAACAGAGCCTCAGTCTATTTCATAGAGACTATTTAAGCAGTAAGCACAGTGTAAGCACGCTTAACCACAGAGGAGAAGTTGCTTAAATCAGTAACGTAACAATAGAAATCTTCATGCCCATGCAACCGTTAGCACATCCATGCCTTGAAATAGTGCTTAACCAGCAGCATGATTTTCTGCTATTGTAAGCACAACTTTTCTGCAAACTGTTACGCAACGCTATGAAATTGGGTCCTAGTTACATAAAGTTCTGTTGCTTACTTGTATCTTCAACTAAATCTACTTCAATATTTTCAATCAAATTACTTCTCCCAAATAAACAAGTCAATATTTATCTAGTAAACTTTGTGTAAATAAGATAAAGACAGCTTGAGCAATTTCCTCATTTCTTGGAGCCTCTCATATTGGGTACAAAGTGTGATGATCTGATCTTAATGAGTAACACGCATGGAGGAGTATAGCCAGTCATGGACTGAGCTGAAGGTCATGTCCATTACCAGCAGTGTCAATATATTGATAGCTTTGGCAGCTATATGCAGCCTCATTGTACAGACCTGATCCAATCGCTCGCACAGCAGGTCCAACTTGTGCATGCTGCCCAATAAAGCTTGCTTTGTGTCCAATGTGCTGTCAATAGGCCGCTCCTGGATCTCACTCAGCACATCTCCCAACAAGTGGTTGATCAAAGGGTCTTCAAGAATCCCTTCCTTATTCAGTCTTTCCAGTGAACTCATTAGCGATGAAGACTTGGGTGGGAAGCAGGGGGATTTTGAACAAAGTGAATTAAAAATATTACATTTAAGGAAAACACTATCCTGGCTTGGGGCAAATGAAGCTAAAACAAGGAAAGTTGTGATAATTAAACAGAAATGCCCCGCAACCATGCCTATTTCCATGACATAACACCACCCTTTTAACATGAACTTACTTGGGCCACATGGAACGTTCATTTACATTGGTACTGTTTTGTTTTAGGTTACACTGTAGTGATGCCTACATGTATGACCCCTGAATAAAAATTACTTGTTTGCTTTAATCTTTGGAAGTCATTGTATGTGATTTAAGAGTAAGTGAATGTGAATAGATCCTGCACAAGAAATATGAGTAAAAAGAGACAGGACTAGTGGGTACACACAGTGAAAAATGTATGTAGGCAAAATGAGAGGTACATGTATACTAAAATGATCACATAAAATAGTAACCTGGAAAGAAAATGTGGTTTATTTAATTCAATGAGTAAATATGATACATGTATCACTTTTTTTAAATTTCAACTGTGATGATCTGACAAGACAATTCAGGCGTTTCACAATGCAGTGCGCCACCAAGAGTTTGCCAAGGAGAGTCAATTGTTCAAGTTTACGGTCGACAAAACACTGCCCTTTTTGAACGAGTATCAGTTGACAACTTGAGCTAATTTGTTCAAGATTGGGGTATAGCATTCTGCCGCCTTACAAAAAAACAAAATATTGATACAAAGAAAGAAAAGGGCAAACAGATATTCTAATCATACGCTTAGGAAACTACTGACAGAACAAACTAACAATTTCAAATAACCCACGCTCCGAATTTGTCGACCATCTCCCACAATACACTGGGAAAAATTAACTCTCTGTGGCAAACTCTTGATGGCGCACTGCAATGTGAAACGCCCGAATTAACATGGGTTATCAAATGTCAAATACATTTCCATGTATGCCTGGTGAGCACCTGACAGTACACAATTTACAAAAAGCAAACTACAAGTTATTACGCACACATGCAATTGTACATGTACAAATGTACATGTTCAAGTTTGCATTCAGTACCGTTCAAGGTTAAGAGGTGCCACATCCATGGAAAAATAAAAAGACTGTACCTGTCATAAAAGTTACCTGTCATGTTGCCTAACTATTAAGGTACTATATTGTTTTAATTAGAACGTCAACATTTGGCAGTGACCTAAAAATTTTAAGAACAACCCACGTACTTGCATTTACCAAGTCCAAAGTTGATATGCAAAGTTTTTCTTGAGTTACATGTGTATGTTGAGATAACTATTCCTGTTGTTTTAATAACAACCTTGACCTTGATTCTGGAGGATCCCCAAGGACTAACCACAATACCACGCTTTAAATTGATGTAACCAGTCTTTTTTGTGTTATGGTGGGAAAACTGTAATGACTTCGGCCTTTGTATTCTGTGGTCCAAACTCATTAAGCTTCTATAAAGGTTCCAACAGCAAGCAGCCTATCAAGGTTCATGACATACATATACATCAAGTCCAACTTAAGTTATTACTGTGAAACCAAAAGAGTGATTTTGTGAGCACCTGAAAACAAAACAGGTCCACACGATGCAGGTTGCGTGAATCTTCTGTGGACTAAGCCAGGTCCACACAACGTTTCCTCCCTCTCTGGAAAACAGGTTTAGAGGCATTTCTGGGTAAGGGTTATCTGTCACAAAATGAAGAGGAATACTCAAGGAAACCATGACAAACAAATTGGGTTGAAAGAGTATTCACAGTGTGAGTAAAATGACTTTTTCTCCATTTTTTCCTTAACAAAGGAATATCCATGTTAGGTATGTAAGGTTGGCCTGTGTGCACACACACACACACACACACACATACCTAGGCTAGAATTACTGCAATGCCTGCGCATACACATACACACGGACACAGCAGAAACAGCATGCCCCTTCAGCTTCGCAGGGAACTTTAAGGACAGTTGATTTTCCTCTCAAAGAGCAGCCCATTGTGATCTTGTCATCTTATTAGTCCAGCGGGGTACATTTTCCATGTAATAGTGAGGAGAAATACTGCCTACTGAAGTTATTGATGTGAATCATGCATCATATCTGATTTGCTGTAACTAATAATGGCTAAAACAAGGGTCTCAACCCATGACCCCCAGTGGCAACCAATGGACTCGGCCAGTGAGGGTCAAAAGATAGTGTAATCCTAACAGCTAGAGTGCTGGTAATGTTATCCACAACATATGGACCAAAATAGAGATGAACTCACTTGATCTTTCGCTTCATGAACGGTTGCAAACTTTTGAAACACCTTGATCAACCAACGGCGATCGGCAAGGAAAGCTTCACTGGGATCCTGGCTGAGTGGGCTATCCTTCTGTCCATCAAAGCAGATGATCTCACCAATGTCATGGTAGTATTTCAGCATCAACATAGCCTCAGCATCAGCCATGTTTCCAATGGACTTCTCAATAGTCTGCCTGACCTAAAAAGTAATGTGGAATTTTTTAGTTTTTGTGATTTTTTGCCACACCTGCACAGAATAGACAACTTAACTATCGTGTATGATGACAGAGAAAAGGAAACAAGCGTGTTTCCGACTATAGAACATTACTGTCATATATATTTACAGCTGTAACACCCTAATGACCTGTTTTACTACATTCACTTTCAGTACATTTGTTACATTCATCAGATTCAACTGTTTCAAATCAGAAGAATTTTCTTAGTTGATAATTTGAAACTGAAATGGTTCTTTGCTGTACATTTAAAACAGCACAAAGACAATGATTTATGGGTTGAACAGAAGGTATTCCAGCTTAACACGTGTGATGAATTGTGATGTGCGATGAATTGTGATATGTGATGAATTGTGATGTGCGATGAATTGTGATGTGTGCTGAATTGTGATGTGTGCTGAATTGTGATGTGTGCTGAATTGTGATGTGTGCTGAATTGTGATGTGCGATGAATTGTGATGTGTGATGAATTGTGATGTGTGCTGAATTGTGATGTGTGCTGAATTGTGATGTGTGCTGAATTGTGATGTGCGATGAATTGTGATGTGTGCTGAATTGTGATGTGCGATGAATTGTGATGTGCGATGAATTGTGATGTGCGATGAATTGTGATGTGCGATGAATTGTCATGTGCGATGAATTGTGATGTGCGATGAATTGTGATGTGCGATGAATTGTGATGTGTGATGAATTGTGATGTGCGATGAATTGTGATGTGCGATGAATTGTGATGTGTGCTGAATTGTGATGTGTGCTGAATTGTGATGTGTGCTGAATTGTGATGTGTGCTGAATTGTGATGTGCGATGAATTGTGATGTGCGATGAATTGTGATGTGCGATGAATTGTGATGTGTGATGAATTGTGATGTGCGATGAATTGTGATGTGCGATGAATTGTGATGTGCGATGAATTGTGATGTGCGATGAATTGTGATGTGCGATGAATTGTCATGTGCGATGAATTGTCATGTGCGATGAATTGTGATGTGCGATGAATTGTGATGTGCGATGAATTGTGATGTGTGATGAATTGTGATGTGTGATGAATTGTGATGTGCGCTGAATTGTGATGTGCGCTGAATTGTGATGTGTGATGAATTGTGATGTGTGATGAATTGTGATGTGTGCTGAATTGTGATGTGTGATGAATTGTGATGTGCGATGAATTGTGATGTGTGATGAATTGTGATGTGTGATGAATTGTGATGTGCGATGAATTGTGATGTGTGATGAATTGTCATGTGCGATGAATTGTCATGTGCGATGAATTGTGATGTGCGATGAATTGTGATGTGTGATGAATTGTCATGTGCGATGAATTGTGATGTGTGATGAATTGTGATGTGCGATGAATTGTGATGTGCGATGAATTGTGATGTGCGATGAATTGTGATGTGCGATGAATTGTGATGTGCGATGAATTGTGATGTGCGATGAATTGTGATGTGCGATGAATTGTGATGTGCGATGAATTGTGATGTGCGATGAATTGTGATGTGTGATGAATTGTGATGTGTGATGAATTGTGATGTGTGATGAATTGTGATGTGTGATGAATTGTGATGTGTGATGAATTGTCATGTGTGATGAATTGTCATGTGTGATGAATTGTCATGTGTGATGAATTGTCATGTGTGATGAATTGTGATGTGCGATGAATTGTGATGTGTGATGAATTGTCATGTGCGATGAATTGTCATGTGCGATGAATTGTGATGTGCGATGAATTGTGATGTGTGATGAATTGTCATGTGCGATGAATTGTGATATGTGATGAATTGTGATGTGTGATGAATTGTGATGTGTGATGAATTGTGATGTGCGATGAATTGTGATGTGTGATGAATTGTGATGTGTGATGAATTGTGATGTGTGATGAATTGTGAAGTGCGATGAATTGTGATGTGTGCTGAATTGTGATGTGCGATGAATTGTCATGTGTGATGAATTGTGATGTGCGATGAATTGTGATGTGTGATGAATTGTGATGTGCGATGAATTGTGATGTGCGATGAATTGTGATGTGCGATGAATTGTGATGTGTGCTGAATTGTGATGTGTGATGAATTGTGATGTGTGATGAATTGTGATGTGTGCTGAATTGTGATGTGTGATGAATTGTGATGTGTGATGAATTGTGATGTGTTACAGGCCTAGAGGATTCACTTACCATTGCTACAGACATGATGGGAGAACTGTGCAGTCTGGCCTCTTCAAACTGCAGCCACTTCAGTGGGATCTCCTCTCCCATGTAATACTCAGAACAGCTTACTTCAGCTATCAATGTCTTTAGGGCTAAAATCTATGGTTTATGAACAAGTAAGGAAATAGACATTGGTTCAGAGAAGTGTGAAGAATTGTATTTATTATAGCTTCTCATGAGCATGCACATAGCACATGTTATTTTTGAAAAGTTGCTTCAGGCAGACTAGATACCCGACATTAGTGAATGAATACAACTTGTACAATCGCACTACTTCTTAGAAATATTGGGTAAATCTCACAGGTCCTTAGACATATTAATGTAGGTAGAAATTTGCTGGAAATTTTTCGGTTTTTTTTCCAAAACAGGTACCATGCATAATACAAGCACTATTTTGGGGAACTCCATGCAGGAAGTCAGAAACAACCAGTGGCATGACACAGGTCTATTGAACCATTTTTGATGAGATAAAAGCAGCCTTAAAGTTTGCAGATATTACCTCAGCTTGACTGCAGTCTTCAAGGCTGTTTTCTACAGCAAAATCCTGACTTATTACATGCTGCTTGTATGGTGCATCTTGGAGTGCCTCTCTGATGTTAGCAAACTGGGCCTTGACCTTTGGAAACAGATACATACAAGCACATGTACCATTTCATAGTGTTTTCCATCTACCAATGCCCATCTATTTTAACACAGCTAGCTGCGGATTTAGCATCAAGTTGATATTTGATATGGGTGGCATGGGTGGCTTGTGCGTAAAGCGCTCGCCTCTCACCAAGGTGACCCCGGTTCGAATCCCGGCCACGGGACACATGTGAGTAGAGTTGTGAGTTGGTTCTCTCCTGTGCCACGAGGGTTTTTCTCCGGGCCCTCCGGTTTTCCTCCCTCCGGAAAAATCAAACACTTTCGATCTCAGGCTGTGCTCCGTGGTCATATATGGGTCGATGTGGCCGGCAGCCATAGGCGCCTTTACATGCCAGCGGCCGGACCACGTTGTAGCCGCGTCCTTCGCAATTCAGCATCCCAGCTGCCAGTAAGGATGATTAGCCTCCCCAAATTATTATTTGTAATTACACATAATAATAATAGACAGAAATTAATAATAACAGAAATGGTATGAATTATCCTGTGCAGTTTGAATCTGTAAAAGGAAGTATGTTGAAAAGATGTCACTACATCGTCTGACATATAAAAGGAATCTGTACAAATGCGCAATTTTAACTGGCTCCCATGAAATGTCAGGGAAGTAAACTAACACACTAAAACATTCTTAATTATTTCTCATGACTGATAGCTATGTTTAATTGAATAAATACTATGGGAGTATCAATTGCAAAATGTCAAGGTCTGAATAGTTTGCAACTATTTCATAAATGTTCATGCCAAACACTGAAATAACCATTCTTGTAAACAACTGTTGAAAACTATGCATAAACACTACTGAAATGTTCTATTAATCAATAAGCAAACTGACATTAATTTACTTGCAACATTGGAACAGCGCTAGGAAGTTTTATTTGAGAGGGTTCTGATTTGGTACCTCAGGCTCTCAAAAACAACATTGTTTTCTAGTCCAAGGCAAGCTTGTAATTTGGTGCAATCTCAGACCGGGTTTCTAATTATACATGAAAAAGGGCAATGATTTTTTTTCTCACAAGCATAGACATTTTGCCACACACAATACCGAAGACAAGACAGACCCTACATATCAGGCAAATGTTCCAACCCTGCTTGTATCTGGGTAAGTCTTTTAAAATACAAAACCAAATGATTCCAACTAATCAAGTCGTTTGGACTTCAATTTGACATCATATTATACAACACACACAAAAGAAAACCAAAAGCACTGATTTGTACATACTGATCAGAAACTAGGGAGTGGGGCTTACCTTTTCTTCTGTATCTTTGCCCAAGCTATCTCTATGAGTCCCAACTATGATAATTGCAGGAGATGTTCTCTCTGTTGCTACCAATGACTGTTTGCCAGTGTTGACATACATGTACATAGTTTGCATCCACAGATCCATACACTCCCAGTTGGTCAGCTCATGATGCTCAACTACTTTCTTAAAAGGGCAGAATAAACAAAAACAATATGCCTCAAAATTGGAATGGACTCACTCTAAGCATAGAGGCATGAGACAAATCTCCTTGTACATGTAAGCTCTTTTTATCATAATATGATGTCTTTTAAGATCATCAAGCCCTGATAATTAAACACTCTATGTAAGGTCAGCAATTTCATTTTGCTACAAAATTCATAAAACATTAAACTTATTAAAGTTGTACACACCATAAATCGTAAGCAAACCTGTAGGTGTGCGGTAAGCATTTAAAGTCAGTACACAATACATGAATATTAACTGACCCTCCCATCAGGTCCAACGCTTTCAATTACTGCTGGTTTGTGCAGATCACAGCCAAGATTGAAAACCAGGAGGTAAACAGCACGATGAGTAAACAATACCTAAGGAATGAGAAAAAATCAGATTAAAAAGGGGAAACTAGTGTGATGAAGCAGTTACAGTATGAACATAATATATTTGAAGTAAATAGGGGCTAATCGCTGATAATTGCCACAGTTTTAAACATTATGGTTATAATTGGTTTATCAAAAACAAAGAGTTTTGTCCAATCTTTTTATGTCATATTGCTTTCCACGTTCAGGGCTATTTCCAAGATCAGAGAATGTATTTGCTGTTGTTTTTAGACATGAAACAAAAGGATACCTGTCAGAGAAACAGTTTTGAGGGTTTGACAAAACATTATAGTCCCTGTTTTCAAGCATTCTACCAACAAACATGACCAAAAAATCAGATCAAATAAATTAACAAAACAAGTCAGGTGTGTTTACAAACACAAATGCCCCGCAACCGTGACTGTTCCCATGACACAACACCACTCTTTTAACATCAACTTACATGTACCTTGGTCACATGGAACGTTCATTAATTGACAGCATTAGTGTCTTCTGTAGGTTCTATATGAATTAATCCCTGATCCCTATGATCTCAGAATAAATACAAGATTTCTATTGTTTTAGCCACTGTGACCTTGACCCTTGACCTTTTGGCCCCAAATGCAAAAGGCTTCTTAGGATTACCAAGGACAATCCACAAACCAAATTTGAAGTTCATATGTAAAGTATTTCTCAAGTTATCGCGCTGACAAAATTTCTTTTGTTTCAGCCACTGTGACCTTGACCCTTGACCTTTCGGCCCCAAATGCAATAGGCTTCTTAGGATTACCAAGAACAATACACAAACCAAATTTGAAATTCATATGTAAAGTATTTCTCAAGTTATCGCGCTGACAAAATTTCTTTTGTTTTAGCCACTGTGACCTTGACCCTTGACCTTTCGGCCCCAAATGCAATAGGCTTAGGATTGCCAAGGACAATCCACAAACCAAATTTGAAGTTCATATGTAAAGTATATCTCAAGTTATCACGCTGACAAAATTTCTTTTGTTTTAGCCACTGTGACCTTGACCCTTGACCTTTCGGCCCCAAATGCAAAAGGCTTCTCAGGATTGCCAAGGACAATCCACAAACCAAATTTGAAGTTCATATGTAAAGTATTTCTCAAGTTATCGCGCTGACAAAATTTCTATTGTTTCAGCCACTGTGACCTTGACCCTTGACCTTTCGGCCCCAAATGCAATAGGCCTCTTAGGATTACCAAGAACAATACACAGACCAAATTTGAAGTTCATATGTTAAGTATTTCTCAAGTTATCGTGCTGACAAGATTTGTCCGGACACACACACCCACACACACACACCCATACTTGTTTCACATGACTAGTGTGGACTTTCCATTGCTTTCGTGTAGTTAAGAAAAACCAGTGAAAAAACTCATTTTTCTCAAACTGTGAAAACTCTTTCAACCCAATTTTTTTTCTATGATTCCCTTTAGTGTTTCTCTTCATTCTGCTACAGATAAACCTAACCCAAAAATGCCTCTAAACCTGTTTTCCAGAAATGGGGAAACACTGTGTGGACGTGGGCAAGTCCACACAACGTCGGTGCTACCTACATTATGTGGACGTCTTTTGTTCGGAAGTCCACACTGCGTATGTAAGACAAGCTCACCCACACCCACACACACCCACCCACACACCCACCCACGGAAGGACAAGGCGGAAACAGTATGCCCCTTCGGCTTCGCCGCGGGGCATAATTACTGTAGATGCTTTGGTGTACATCATTGACAAACTATAGCTGAATATTAGCACGCTGTTGGAGCGCAGAGCTTGGCATCAACTAATGAAGGTACACTGTGGTCAATCAGCATGAGCCAAGTGTAGATATTTCTTCTTAGCTGATGGCATGCACAATGTCAACTGCATGCGCACAATGTTCTGGCTAGCAGGACAATCATAAGTGGTGAGTTTGAGGATATATACATGTAACTACCGTACTGACATGTATGATGCTTTGATCTTATAAAAAAAGACCATGCTGGTAAGACAGTGCTTTGACAAGACAGATGATTATCAGAAATAAAAATGGCAATTTTTCAAATTCGATTTCAAACCCAAAGTTAAGCCATTATGAATTTAAACTTTGAATGGTCAAAACAGGAAATGTCACCATAAAGTTGTAGTTATCTATATTGACTTTAGTTATTCAAACTTTTTCAGAGCTACATGTATGTAATTAACTACTTTGCATAAATCATTTGATGATCAGTTTCTTTCAAAGTTCCACCCTCTGTGCACTTCTATGTTATATAATTTGCCTCGCCCACTACGCAGGGAGGCAGCTTTGTCACAAGTCGCCCGTTTCGTGGTTGAACAACTCATGAACACACGTACAAACACACCCAAACGTGTGTTCACTGTAGATCATGGACGTCCTATTGTCTCTCTTTTGTTTGTACTCTAACTTTTTAGGAAGACTCCCATAGGTTTTGTACACGACCCCAAACGCGGACGTATGCTGGGAATCGTGGACGATATTGTTCTCTTTTGTTCTCTGGTATGTTTCGTCCACGGTTTGAAAAGATGAACACGTACACACAGACACGTCTGTTTATGGTGTAAATCGAGGATTTCTTATTGTTCCTCATCATCTATCTTTTGTTCATACTTAACCTTTTTTTGCAACAGCTCCTATTGGTTTTGTACGCGTTTTCTAATCAAGGTCGTCCTCCATTTGACTCATCCTCAATTAAATAATGATGCTTCACATGTGTGTCCTCGATTTATACCGTAAACAAACCCCCACATACTTGTTCCGTAACTGTGGGGACTACACACGAGTTGTCCCATGTTACTATGGAGACCAAAGACGCTGTGGGGACAGCAGAAAATCCCCATAACATGGTCCTAATTTCCCTAAATATAAAAATTAAAAACTTCCCCATAACGCAGTGACGGCCAGTCCACACATACATACACCCTTTCTTCTTTATAGTATAGCAGTGATAAACTGACCATTGCTTTACACCAACCTGGTTTGTAGGGCCATGGAGATCCTGTCCAGCAAAATGCCAGATATTGAGGAAGACATCGTCAACAGAATCCCCTACACCAGCATGCAACCTAGTACCTGCTTGCCCTTGCTCTAATTAGTAACAAAAAAAGTCAAACGTTTGTTTGTGATCTAAAATCTCAGCAAAAGCTGTTTAAGAATGTTTTTACAAAGCTAGCATTGTGGAATATTTATTTTTGTACTTTATTTATTATTAAGAGGACCACATTTTTAATAAAAAACATGGAAACCTCATTTGTGCCATTTTACTTTAATTGAAAGTGTACAACTGTAGAAATTGTGTGGTTTAGATTTGTTTGCGATGCTGCAAGTAGATGGCAAGTAGATTGCCAAAAGGAGATTCTGCAAGTAGATTAACCCTAACATAACTCAACCCATCAAACCCCAACGGCATGTTTTGTTGGAATCTGTCAGGATGGGTGCACTGTACCCCTGAATTGACAGTCTTTTACATTGGGTTGGCACACCTCCAGAATGAAAGACAGAAATATGTGTGTGCAGTTTCCTATATGGTGTTGGAATTTGCCAGGATGGGTATGGTTCCTAGTAAATCATGCTAGGGAGTTAGGATTAACAACACAGTTGGCAACCTTATCCCATCAGCTGATTTTGCAGGATTCAATTCTGATTTGACCAGAATTTAATCAGAAAACAGTAATCAGAAAGCAGAAATCTGATAAATATGTGCACATAATAGTATAGTTTGTTCAAGCTTTACCAACACGATTGCCCAGCCAACTTTTAAGTTTATAATTATTTAATTAATTAATTAGGATTTAATTTGAAATTGAAGCTTCCTTAACCATAACATATGATTCATGTGGACATGAGAGACTCGAGTCAAGTAAACTCCACTTCCCTGAAAACAACAGGCTGTCCTCAATGCCTCCAACTCATGGCTACAGTCACCCTATGACAGCTGACATGTACTAACCATTTATAGGTGCGTTATGAGAGCTTGCGACAGCTCCAAATTGATTGTGCTGCATGTGCGTGTAAATGAAGCTCATATTGGTCCAAGCAGTTTGTGTGTCTCATTTTATCCTCTGAGGGAGACTTGTTTCTCACTGCGCACTTTATTGAACACCCATGCAATTCAAAGTGCTGTACATGTACGTACACACATTATTGTGCAACGATAAGTTGGGGGTACATGTAAATGTCTTCTTGGACCTTCAACTACAGGTTATTTTATAGCAGCCCATATCTTTAGGATTGCCTCAAATCACATTTGCCTCACAAATCACATTTCTAAACATTAACCCTAACTCCCTAGGCCTTTTTGCTAGGATGTAGCCTCCATCCTGCAAATTCCTCCATTATTTCTTGAATATGGTCCGTGGAAGGGTGACCACTGCCTGAATCCTGCAAAATCCTGCAGCAGTGACTGTCAATATGTTGAGGCTTGGCCAGTGACATCCTGGAGCAGTACAAAGGATTCTAGCATAATCCAGGCCTATATTTATGCATGGCTGAGCAAACACAACACAAGGTCCGGCCCAAGACCTTGACAAAGTGCATCCTACGAAATCAGTAACGCACTTTTGCCATGTAACCTCAATCCTCCAAATTTCTCCACTTTGGCAAAGAGGATTTTGAAGGATTCAGGGCGGTTAGGGTTAACATAAGAACATACATCAATGTTATATTACCTATGGCTTCCCGGAAATCATGCCAAGATTTTGTCCCATCGATTTTCACTGTGAGTGAGTTATCTATGCCACCACCACAGCTTTCCAAGGTGTTATATCTACAATAAAATTGGTTTGAAATTAATAAGCAGTTGTTTGTTATCAAAATTCGCACAAGTTGCAACATTGACCAAAAGAAGTACACATGTACATTGTGTGAACAGCATCATCTACCAACTGGGACAATTAATTGTAACAAGCCCACATGTCCAGCAAATTGTGACGTCACAGCAAGTATGCATGCTGCAAATTCACAAAAGCTGAACACATTTGAACTCTAGTGAAGTTTGAAGTGAATGTTTCCTGACGTCAAATTTGCTTCGCTTTCGACTTTGCGTGAAGCATGAACCAGGGTTCAGGGCAATGTTGAAAATTAGCTGAAGACAGAAAGACAAAAGCAATCAGAATGTTTTTCTCAAAACTACTTTTCTGTAAACGAAACATTTCTGCTATCAGTTACAAAATTGGATGAAGCACTAGTAAGCAACAGCATCTCTATGAAATTGATCCCATTTTGAATTTCCGAGGATGGCCACCATGTCACAAGATCCTTTGTATCCTTACCTGTCATTGGTCAATGTTTTCATCAGACAAGTCTTCTCCTCCCTTCCTTGGCCAATCAGCACCAGCCTAGTATGGTATACACTCCTGCTGCCCATAGACAATGCCTCAATATACAAGTGCTGAGCATTCACCCCTTGTTCTACAATTTCTAGGGGCATGTAGGCACTAGGCTCTGTATGATAAAAAAAAAAACATGTTTATCAAACCACTATGTCAATGATAGTCAATATACATGTACTTTGACCAGTCCTACCTCTTAAAATGCATATGATCCTCAATCCTCCAAAATCCTCCTCCTCTTCAAACACCATTCATCTTCAATCATCCAAAATCCTTGTGTTTCTCAAACACCATTCATTCTCAATCCTCCAAAACTGCCAGGAGGATTTTAGAGGATTGAGGTGGGGTGGGGTGGTTTATCTTACCATTCTTCATAACACATGTGTAACAGCCAGACAAGTCCACTGTAGCCCACACTGGTCTCTTGAAATTAACTGCCCCTCGAGTGTCTTGTAATTTTTCTGGCCATCCTAGCTGTCTAACGGTAACAAGTCCAATCTCATCAAAGGTGTAATCTACGAAGATGTTTTCACTCCCCTTTTCAAGTGACATGGCCCAAGTATGGCTCTGGTATGAAACCTCCTTGGTATAGATGGAAGGAAGTGACTGAGTGTCTACTTGGGCTGGATTTTGGTTGGTGAAGCCAATGCGAGGCATGCCTGCCCATCGGTTGGTGCTTTTCTTGAAGAACAAGGAAACCACTGTACCAGCATGGATCTGGGTGTCACTGAAGGTGATGCCATTGTCATAAGTGTCAGGATTACGGATGACAGTTAAAGCTGTTGATCTGACAGAAATATTACTGCCATGACAGGATGAGTGGAAATGCCAGGCCATCCTTCAAGGAAAGAAACTTCTTCAATCCTACAACCAGATTGATAAAAAGATATTTAAATAAAACAAATCCTTCCTCCACTCGGTATTTCTCTTTTCAACATGATCGTTGTATCGGAATGCAATTCTGTCCATTTATGACCGAGATTGTGGTCCATGGGCAGATATCTGTCCATTTATGACCAACATGTGACGCCAACTTGCAGGGCTGCCAACTTTGAGAGAGAGCTAAGAGTGAGAATTTGGCGATGGAGCTTGATCAGAACTAATTTTGTGCTAAATGCGAGCGTGAAGCGCGGTGCCCAAACGGCATGGGTTCGGGGCCTGTGCTGATGGACCCCGCATAAACGTGGATTTATGTCTATCATTCTAGACGCTCTGTCTGTGGTGCAATCTGAGCACTGAGGCAATATCTGACCACTTTAACCTTCGTTTTTTTTAGCAAAAGTTTATCATTCAAACATTTTCGAGTTTTATTTATTTATATTTGTTGTGCTCGTGAGAGCGTGAGAGCGTGTGTGCTATGCCTCTTTTGTTCCACACAGTCTTTTGTTTTAGAGTGCTTTTGAGTTGACACTAGCAAATGGTATTTGAGAGTAGTTGACACACTATCTATAACCATGTATCGTGCATAATTTACAAATTTATATGTGGTCAAAATTCTACCTCCATGGTATATTTGACTGTGAACCAAGCCTTGAGGTTTTAGGGCTTTTTTCGCTTTGGATTGGCCTAGTCTAGCACCATAGATGTGGCCAATTTACTGGACTACCTCCATAAATAAAGGCCACACTTCCACCATGTACAAAAACATGTCGAACTTTGTCAAATTTAGATTTTCAGATTTAGGCTTAGTTTGTAGTTTATTTTTGCTTTAGAAGCATAGGCCTACTCACCCTCTTTATAGGCTAATCAGAAAGTGCTGCCTTTTTCAGATGTCTATTTTTCGTGAAATTTCCTGATTCGTTTGCACACATTTGCGTATCAAAATTTCAACATGAAATTTTACGAAAATTAGACATCTGAAAAAGGCAGCACTTTCTGATTAGCCTATAAAGGGTAGTCCGAGTAACTAGGACTCTACGGATCGCTTTTTAACATTTGAACATGGTTGGGCGATAGTGTACTATCGCCCGACCATGTCTAAATTATTAGCTCGTTTATCACGTGGCCTCGTTATTGGCCAATCAGACGCCGCCTATCATATGCGCCACATGAAGCAGACGGGTAGCTCGTAGGGCTCCGATAATTTTGCACGCAAATGACCCTGGGTACTCGTCCAGGGTCATTTGTCAGGGTCACCCTTGTCAGGTTAAAATCTAATTTCTACACATTCGTATGGGTCTTCATTGATGGCAAATTTCGTCGAAATAACACATCCTGAACACGCGGGAAGGCAAATTTAGATTTCTAGGCGAGTACTCAACATCCATATGTATGGCGGATAGATTTCGCTAGGTTCAAAAATACACAACAGCGTGGCGTTGTATACAACGCCACGTTCACGGGGTCGCGGGTCTAGAATAAAGGGTGAGTATGCTTCTAACGCAAAAATAAACTACAAACTGCGACATGTTTTTGTACATGGTGGAAGTGTGGCCTCTATTTAAAAACAAGAGATCTCGCGTCGCGGATCTCTTGTTTTTTTTTCTGGGTGTTGCGCATGCGCATTTCTTACTCACATTTTTATTCACAAGCCAATCTATAGGAGAGGCGTCTCTGAATGGGATAGAGCCATCATTTCTCTTATATATATGCGCATGCGCAACACCTAGAAAAAAAAAACGCGAGGCGAGATCCGCGAGGCAAGATCCGCGAGACGAGATCCGCGAGGCGAGATCCGCGAGGCGAGATCGGGGAGGCGAGATCCGCAAGGCAAGATCCGCGAGGCGAGATCCGCGAGGTGAGATCGGGGAGATCCGCGACGCGAGATCCGCGACGCGAGATCCGCGACGCGAGATCCGCGACGCGAGATCCGCGACGCGAGATCCGCGACGCGAGATCCGCGAAATCCGCGACGCAAAATCCGCGACGCAAAATCCGCGACGCAAAATCCGGGTTGTGATTGGTTAATCTTCAGCACGCTTCTTATTTGCATAAAAACTATGAATAATTCAACAAAATCAAGTTGGGAAAGGCCTCGTGGCTTTGCCACTCGCGCGTGCTAACTTAATCTTTGCTCCAGTCGCTTCGGGTCTTCGCAACTCCGCCGCTCTAAACCACGATGGCCTGGGCGAAAGGCTACTCCAAGTTGGAAATTTCGCTTCAACACACATGCACAAAATTGCGCAGTAGTGTTCACTTTCGCCAACTATGGCCAAGTTCGCGCAAGGCCTATAGTTGACCAATGGTTAACTAACGTTTGCCCGAACTCTGTCTAGTCGACGGTGGTTGACTACGCTAGTCGACTCAGTATTTGGAACCAGCCTACTGGGGTTGGTTGCTTCACTGGTAACCAATAGCCGCGCGCATCCATGATGCTAGCAGAGAGCCAGGATCCAGAAGTTTTGCGATGACATTTTGACCAGCATTTGACTAGAGACGTTCGCACGTTGCTATCAGTGCGCAGGCGTAAGGTACGTCACAAATCAACCACTAGTCGACTAATGGTCCTTGCCCAAATTTGGCCTAAGTGTGCTTAGTTCGTTGGGGTTTTACTGGTGCACGTAAGAAGTAAGGATGTTTGTATGTATACGTCACAGGGTACCATCGAATCCAGACCTAGGCATGGTGGGGCGCGCAATTAACTCCCAACATAACATCCTAATTATCAAAAAGACTTGAAGGATGTACATTTATTTCAAACCGTGGTTGAACGTGGTTGCAAATTGGACATGCATGTGATGGACCACGACCGAGCAAGGAACAACGCTTCTTAATTTTTTCCTCAACGCACACGCAATGACGATGGGGACACAACTTTAGAATGCTTGCAATATAACGCATTCTTGGGTGTCCCTCAATGTCTGTATGGACCGGTAGACTTTACGACGACAACAACAACAACACAGCCTGAATAAAAGTTAGCACAGCGGACTCATGAGCATGAATAGTGCTCATGTAACGTGCTGTGTAACGTGCACTGTAACGTGCTCAATTATCCGCCAAATCCACCCGGAGAAGCTGGCCAGCCGGAGAAGATTGAGAGTATACTCTTGCTGACCCGCGGGTCGTACTCCTGCCGTTCGGGCGCTCAGGAGTATACTCGTGTTAACACGAGTAGAACGCTCGAACGCACCCATATCTAGAAGGCCCTCAAGCGACCGACTCGAAAGCTGCTTATAAATAGTCTGGTACCTTGATACACTTACTCTGCATGCATGCGTTTTTATTGAAAATTAATGACAGGCGCGATCATTAATGACAGAACCACTCTTTTGAGCAAAGTATCGCACGTGGATCAGATCATCAAACCATGTTCCGTGAACGAGTAGTTTACAAGCCACGTTCACGGGTCTATAAACCATGGAGGAAATAAAAACACATTCCTCCATGCTTTTACCACGTGGACGATGGGAATCCTACCGCGAATTACACATGTTCCATCGGCAGTCATGTCAATACGACTACTTTTGCAAAGTACACGTAGGCCTACCTTCGAACATGCCCAATGGTTATCGCGCGACATCTTTCGACGGTATTCGTCATTTTCGCCATTAAAGGCATCATTGATCAAAAACATCAATATTTTCTCCAAGTCAAGCAAGTCGCGATCGTTGCCTTTGCCTCTCTACAAGCCAGAGGCAGGATGTGGATTTGCAGACAAAACATCCATTTTGAAAGCTGGACAACTTTCAAGTGTGTTTGAAAGCAGCGATGCTGAAACAGCTGACATTGTTTTGCAGAATTTTGAGCTTCATGAAAATTTGGTGTCGGAGGAAGAAGAAAACTCTCTCTTGGAGGAAGTTGAAGATTATCTAGAAGACTTGGATTATGAATATGATCACTGGGATAATGTGAGTAATTGTGACTGAAATACTGGACTACCTCCGTATTATAAGTCACGAAGCCACATACGGCCTGTGCGCGCAGCGTCCCGTGGGTCGCACTAAACAGCGTCAACACAGCGTCAACACAGCGTCAACACATGACAGAAGCGTCAACACACCGTCAACACATCCAAAACACATTCTGAATTGACAACAAGGGCATATAATTGTGAAACATACAATAAAAGAGAATTTCCATTGGATTGAGTTTCCATTTCGTTGTTAAAAATATCGTATTTTCATGCGAAAAAAATGACCTTAACTTGCACTTCGCACAAGCTTGGACTACACCATTTCAAGTAGGGGTGTGTAGGTAATGACATTATCTTGTCATAAACAACAGAGGGCGCCTTGCTGCAGACTAGACAGAGGGATACCAGATCTATGTGAGGACTAAGGATTGGAGGAGTGGTAGATCATTATTTTGTGAGTTGTGTTTATGTTTTGGTCTTTGCAGATATTTTTAACACTGGCGACCCCGGCCGCGTCCCTCTCTGTTGGTTTATTGTACAACGCTATCACCCTTTAGAATAATGGTATGGTCCGCGCTGCCACTGAGGCAACATGGCGGGTGTTCGGCAGCCGATTTCGGAGCGGCACGGAGAGCCAATTTTCTTGAACTAAAAATCGCGATTTTCAGACGTTTAACCTATTGATTTTAAGCACAAATCTTGTTTCTGTCCATACTGTATGGGTTACATACTGCTTTTGTAAATTTTAATGCATTTTGGATGTGTTGACGCTCTGTTGACGCTGTGTTGACGCTTTGGAGTGTGTTGACGCTGTGTTGACGCTGTTTAGTATGACCGCGTCCCGTTGCTAGGGGGAGCCGAAAATTAATTGAAGATCGAAATTATTTTGTGAGCAGAAAATCAACCCAGCTATAGTATGACTGCTAATAGCACAAAATTGTTAAATAGAAGCAAACAATTTGGCGGGGTTTTCTGTCTATGACTGCTCCGCTAACGCGGAGCATCATAGTTATAGGAGTAGCTTGTAACATGAGTAACAATTTTACAACTTGGGCCTTATTCGAGGGGGATTTTCTTCAGAAATGAATGCACCAAAAATAACTGCAAATTTAAAAATTGTGTATGATAAATTTCATATTCAAACGTTCCGGAAGCGCACCACCAGGGCCGGGGGAACTTTCAGGCTCATTACCTGGAAAATGTCTAGTTGTTCATGGCTGCAAGCGTGGGGTGTCATGGCTTAGCGGTTAAGAGCACCGGACTCATGCTCTTGTATTTCATAGGCAACAGTGACATGGGTTCGAGCCCGGGTCTGGACACTTGTGCCCTTAAGCAAGGCACTTAACCATTATTGCTTTGTCCTTCGGATGGGACGTAAAGCATTGTAATGCAATGCACGTAAAGGTACCAAGTAACACTTTTTGCTACGAGAAGGGGTTTGCCCCGGTGTTTCTGGCCTCCTTGTTATACTCTCCTGGGGAGTCATTAGGAGAAGAACCAACTGAGTACCAAGACTTTACTGTGAGTTAATTCATTCTCTCTGCTTGTAAGAGCTACACAACAAAGGGGAGGGGTGTTTTGTCTTATTTTATTGATTTATTTGTTTATTTTTTTGTGAACCACACAACAAGTATGTACAGCAATCCCTTTCTACCCTATGTAGGCAATTCATGGATACAGAGAAACAGAGAAATCACAGTGGTCAGTGAAGAGCCAAGCTGTCCTACGGCGTATTAGACAAGTTGCCTTTTCCAGTAGAGAGCAACAGCTAAGTTTGGTGCATGTATTGGATCTGGCTCAAGATGGATACATCAAGCCACACGTAGATAGTGTCAAGGTAAAGCATTGCAATCTTTTCTTAGCTTTGGTTTTATGATGTTTTATGAAATAATGCTGGATTTTATGTCTGGACTAAACAGTCACTTTATTTTGCATATTTCGTTTCGCACTTGTGGCAGTGGTTGCAAATTCAGTCAGTGTGAATTGAACTTTAAATCTATGGGTTTGGTAGTTTTCCTGCCATTATTATTATTATTTGCACCATTTGCATACTTTGTCTTGAATTAGAACACATGTATACATGTAGATAAAACTGGTCAGTTACCAGAAATGGAATTATATACATTGGATATTAGTTGCCATGGATGTATGCATGAAAAGATTTAATAACCATTTTATGGGTTTTTACCTGGTTGTTTCAGTTTGTAACAAGAGAAACCTGTAATTGATCTTTTACAACCTTTACAGAAGATGTAGCTTTCTTGTATTAGTTTCTGTGTTAGTTGTTTATGACTAAAATGTTGTTTCTTACTTGCTCAGTTCTGTGGTTCTACCATTACTGGTGTGAGTTTGCTGTCTACTGCCATCATGAGGCTAGCAAAACAGAACAACCCGGAACACTGGGTCAATGTTGTCCTTAAGCCGCGATCTCTATATGTCATCAGGTACATATAATTATAAGCTACAGGTCTTAAGTTATGTTCTCAGTAATGTATAGCTGGCCTACATGTGGTTTTGTATGAGAGGATTCTCATGTCAGCAGTCAGATGATCCGAGTGGAAACCATGACTTGTAACCATAGTTGGGGCATTGTCTACAGTTGGGATATAACACTGCCAGTAAGTAGCAACTTCCAATACACAGGGGAACTACATGTAATGTTGACTATCCATCCGAAATAATTACCATGTTTTATACATATTCACCAACATTTGTTGAGTTACTCATCAGTTACATGTAAGTGGACAAAACATTGCAGTGTGCTGCCATCTTTTCATGTACCTAGGGTATATTTCTGTGTATCCCAGTGCAATGGTTCCACGATTGCATTAAAATAAAGCGCATTTGTAGTGGACTGTTGCACAGGTAACCTGTGCTATACTTAACTGCGTATTTACCCTATGAGTGAATCATCCTTGCATCATTGTTTTTTCAGTAGGATTCTAGTAGACCTGTTATGTTTATCATTTTGTATTCCATCCTGTCAATATAACTTTTCAACTTGTACATGTACGTTAATATTTCAACAGGGATGTGGTTCGCTACCAGTTCACCCACGAGATTTTAAAGGACAGTGAATCTTCATTCAGAGGTCAAAGGTTACCACGTGCCCGCCGGATTTCTATTATTTGTCGGAATGAGCCAAGTTGATGTGATAAATGTGAAGGGACTGAACTCTTACTCAGAGCAACATGATTGCCATTCAGTTCTTAGGCTTGAAGGTGTGTATAGAGGAGGGTCTTGGTATAGCGCTGTATACGTACTACAATTTATTTACTTATTTTATTGAGATGAATAAATGTGGGCCTATATAATGTAATACATGTACATCTTTGGACAAAATCCAACCCCGCCTACATTGCTTCTGATGAAGTAGATATTATGCAACAGTATGCATATTTCTATATACATGTATTAAGTGGTCACGAAAATGCTGAACACTGTCTGACAAACCCTGGGGGTTTGACAAACCCTAGGCCCTGTCGCTAGGATGCATCTTCATTCCTACAAAATCGTACACTAACTAGCTACATGTAAACATTTGATACAGCTCAATCCTCCAGAATCATCCGTTATTTCTTGAATTGTTCATTTATAGGGTGACCAGTGCCTCAATTCTGCAAACTCCTCCAATAATCACTGTTGGTATTTTGAGGCATTGTCGGAAGCAGTACAGATGATTTTCGGAATATAAGCCGCGGCTTATACGCCGAGCCTTGAACATGGGCGTCGCCAGGATTTTTTCTAGAGGGGGGCAAAAATAATTTTTGACCAAAAATGCTTGTATTTCTCAACACATTTTCGATTTATCAGTTTTAGAGGGGGCAGGGACATTTTGCCCCCCCCCCCCCAACTCATTAAATTTACACCACTTTGTCTTCGCGCCTCTTTTTCTCTTCTTTTCTTTTCTTTTTTTTGCGTCCTTTTATTTTGTTTTGTTTTTGTGGATTTTCCAGGGGGGGCGCCCCCCCTTGCCCCCCCCCCCCTCGCGACGCCCATGGCCTTGAACTTTGAAGAATAAAAATAAGATTCACATGTGTATTTAAAGGGAAAATACAACATTTGCAAACATAAAAAAATACAACTACCAAATCATTTTGAAATACCTTGCTGGACTGTTAGTGAATGACAGTGTAAAGCATCCTGTAAAATCATGGCACCTGGTATACTGTCATTTTCCAGAAAAGTGGTATTTTTGTATCAATTTCCAACGCTGATCGGCCGATCAGCGTTGGAAAAAACTGGCTTTTTTTTCAAATACTGGCCCCAATTGACCATCGCACTTGTTTGCAATCGAT